TAGAGCAAGTGAGTTGCAGGATACCCTCATTCCATTGTTCACTTGACACTTTCCAAGACAAAGCAACAAGAAAGGGAAAGTCCAGCTGTGCCTGGCCGTGACATGTAAAAGTAAGGTACCAACAAGTCGTTCTTCCGCCAATCCAAGCCATACAATCCATTCTATGAAAGAACCAGGAACTGCACTGTGTAATCTGATTTCCTTCATTTGTTTGCACTTGCCACACAAATATGCATCGCTGATGCTGTTTTGTGTATCCTCAGCAACCTCTCAGTATTGAGACAACAATTGCTAGCTGTGGTTTGCTTCTGAGGTACTAACAGACACATAGAGCAATGAGGCTGGTGTGGAGCAGAGTCAGGAGGAACTGCTAGCAGCAGGGAGAAAAATACAGTGCTTCATCATGAAAGGAATACTTATGGAGAGAGCTTCCTTGTATTAACTGCAACAGTTGGAAGAATGTCCAGCTAACCTGTCTCTGACAATAGGAATTCATTCTTGCAAAGCTTGAAGAAGAATGTGCTCCAGCAGTAGACAGAAATAAGCAGTATCTTGTACTCAGCTCAGGAGGAGAACTTTATATGTCTGACCTGATTATATTATTTCCTGATGATACTGTCTGTTCCCTAAACATCTTTCTGAATGAGAAGCTGAGCTCAGCATATGTTCTAATGCACAGGTAGCACACTGTGTGATTCTCACCAGGACAGCTGTTCATCCTGGACTGACGCATGCTCTCTTCATGCATGAACTTCAGCTCACCTGTACAGATGTGGCAAGGAGTAGAGTACTTGCCCCAGAGCATCTTTCATAGAACCTTGCCTGGTTTGGCTAAGAATACTTTCCATAGCCCTGTTACTGTTTGTACCTGGGCTGCTGCAAAAGGTAAATGATTGTTTTGGTTTCCAAAACATTTTCCACTGACAGTAATCATGAGCTTTCATCCTTATATCTATTTTCTGATCCTGGGAAATGCACTGGGAGGAACAAGGAGTAGCTGTGAGCATTATGGCTGAGAAGGAACAAAGACAGTGAATGGGTCTCGGACCACCAGAAATGAATTTCCAAGAGAGTAAATCACTTTGTTGCTAAGTCACCACAACTCCTGAATAAGTGCTAGAAGAAAAATACCTTGGGCAAAGGAGAAAAGTTGAATCAGAGCAGAACAGGAAGCCCTGCACTTGAGTTCTCCTGGTTTCAAGAGAGAGGAGAGACACTAATATGCAAAGGAAGCCTTGTCAAGTTGGTTCTTCCCTATGTCATGCCATGATTCTTATCCCTCGGTCATATAAAAGATGTACGTCACTCCCTCCTGGGCAGCAATGTGGGGCAAAAGAAGTAGTTTCCCTGGTGGGGGATGATTTCTTTCAGGGCCTACACCCCACAGGAGCCATGTCAGGTTTGGGCCAACATTGCTTCAAAATGATTCTAGGGGACCTTGTGCCCTTGCAGTTCCCTTGTGCCATCCCTTTCTTCCCCATTGCACTCAACACAAGAGGCACGCCGAGCGTCCTGAATATTATTTGCCTTTCCTTCCTGACTGAAAGCACAGGGGTGAGGAAGTGCTACCTGAGCAACAGAGACCATGGATCTGCTTTGCCTGGGCCTCACCACGTCTCACTCCTGTGAGCATCTCTTGGCGGCAGAGCAAGGTGAGACGGTTCAGCACAGTCACAAGCTTACATCATGCTGACAAAGAATCACGGTTTGCCACAGCACACAGGTGGGAATAGACCCAGGTTTGCTCTGGAAGGCTCTCCCAGAGATCCTGGCATGGCACAGCTCCCAGGAGCTGGTAGCAGTTCCCATCCCACCGTCTCTGCCTCCTCCACAGCCATGTGCAGCCAGGGATTTGGGAGTGGCATTCCCCGGGGCCATGGCATTCTTGGTGCAGTTCCCCACACCGGCTGGGTGATTGTCTCCCCGCTGATCTCCTTTTTAGGGTGCGTGGGAAGGAAATGTGCTTACACGACTCTCACGGGACGGCAGCGGGAGGCTTTCGGCAGCAGGGAGATGGGAGGTCATGGCAGGGACATGGCATTGCAGGTAGGAAACCATTCCGCATCCTCCCACTCCTTCCCGTCTCACGTCATGCCCTGGCAAGGGGCAGCTCGAGGAGCAGGTCCGTGTCTCTTCTCTGGAGACAAACCCAGTCTAATTGGGTGATACTTCCACCGATCGGCTGCGTTCCTGCTGGGAACAGCGTTGTGCAACAGTGAGGACTGGTGTGAAAAGCCCCTCCTGACACACATCCATACCTGACCATGCCCACGGCAAAGCCCTCCCACAGCTGTGGTGCATGAGGGAGGACACACATCCTGTTCCACAGCGGTGGTGCTGGGCACACTAAGCTGAGCCCCAGTACTCTGCCTTCAATCCAGCCCTGCTCTTTTCAAAGACAGCAATTGTAACCAGCAACACATCGGTGTCCATGGGGTGAGCTTGGTGGAGCAGAAGTCTCTACACCAGCAGCACGTTTTGCTCTCACCCCTCCCTCGCTTGGCTCAGAAGCACACGTTGCATGTTCTCCTCACACAGCCCCAAGTGCTGGAGGATATGGATGGTCAGGGGGGAAACCATGACCAAGAAGGGGCCAGCACCCAACAGCCATGGCACTGGGGCAGCAGCAACACAAGGGAAGGACAAAATGCCAACCAGGGATGTCATGACCAAGACCAGAAGTGCTTGGTGAGCAGCTGCAGCCATGCTGTGTACATGGGAGACTCCAGGTGAGTGAGTAAAACACTGAGCAGGAAGGAGATGGCAAGATGGTGAGGAGCAAACATCACACATTGCTTCTCCCTCTCCTCCCAGCTGAAGGACATGCTCTGCTCTGTCTTTCCAAAGGGAATCTCATAGGGTTAAATATCACAGATAAAACATTTAACCTCGCTGAACCAAAAGCATTTTGCAAACTCAGAAAATCATGGAATTATGGAATCGTTTGAGTTGGAATGGACCCTTAAAGGTCATCTAGTCCACCAAAAAGTGTGAAATGGCCTTTGAATGCTCAATTTTTTTTTTTCTCCAAACTTGCTGCAAGTTTAAAAACTAAAACCAACAGCCACTGTTTGATGTAGATAAGAAATGAATAAAGACACTACATGCAAAGTAGCTCCCAAGATGAACAAAATGTACCTGCAGTACCATCCCTTTCTATGGTGTTTCATCCTTACCATATATGATTCAGCTTATTTATCCTCATGTGTATCATGCACAAGCTTGTAGAGAGAACAAAAAGTACTCCGGGAAGAAAAGACAAGGCAGCAGCATGCAGGTGGAGCACCCCGATGAGAGGATGTTCCTTCCTCCTCCCAGGGATCTCTAACCCCATTTGTGCTTTTTCTTCTCCTAAAACATCTCTCAGTCCCATGTGTTTACAGTAAAACATTTCCCCCCTTTAGAGGATGTTGAACACATGAAGGGAGCTGGCTGGTGCTCGCTGCAGACTTTTCTCTCATTGATACCAACTTGTCAGGGGTCACAGGAGCAGCAGGGCACTGAAGGGAGCAGCACGAGGCATTTGGAGAACACCAGGACAGACAGACAGACAGACAGACAGCCAAGCATGGCTGCCCCTTCCTGCCAAACCCAGTGCAGACCTCCATGAGAGGCGTGCTTCAGATTTGCATTCAGCATTTGTGGGCGCTCGCAATGATGGAAATGTTAATTTCAAAGTGTTAGTGCTAATTTTGTCAAGCCGTGCCCTAGAATAAGCATCTGGGATTCTAGCAAACAGAACATTGCATCTCTACACGGCACTTCCACAGAACTATGGGTTCTCGTGCTGCTGCTCCCAGGAGCACATTCTTGCCCTTTGGAAAAAAAAAAAAAAAATGTGACTAATGGAGCTCTGGATGCTGTAAAAATAGATGATAACACTTCTCCTCCTTTTAAAGCCTGAATGAAAACAAACATTGAACTAGACAAGAAAACAAAGTCAGTGACTTGTCCGAGGTCACAAAGGACTGACATGGCTCAGCACGGATTGCAGCACACACCCCTCGGTGCTTCGGCAGCTCTCTGTCCCCTCTCCCTAAACCAACCCAAAGGCTTTCAGCATTTCCTGCCTGCATACTTTGTGACACACACACAGGGCTGCACCAGAAGGTATTACTAATGTATGCTCTGATAAGAAGGCTTCTAACAGCGTTATCAAAATCAAAGTGATAAGGTTGAATTTTTATGGGCTATTCCTCTGCAGGTGACTGGAAGGCAGCAGGCAGGTTGGGATACGAGCAAATTCTTTCATTGGTCAGATGTCATTTTCTAGTAACAAAACTCTGAAACATTTCTGATGTGGGAGATTGTGGGAACCAAAACTTCATGCTCTCTCACTGAAAAAAAGAAAAGAAAAATCCACACTGAGGGAAAAAGAAGTTTCCACGCATCAGCATGTGCAAACGTTTCAGTTTCGAGGAGACAAGGCTTCTGCAGGAAAACCTTCCCATTTCAAAGCTTTGGCTCGGCCCTGAGGGCTCCATCTCCATCATCTCCTGCAGTGTGGCACACAGAAGCCCTCTGAGAGCAGGAGCTGCTGCTGGAGCATCCTTGTCTGAACCACACTGTGCAGCACCCTTCTCCCTGAGATAGTCGCTATCAGCAGGGCAGGATGACATGCCATTTTCACATTTCCCCACGTTCAATGGGTTCCCAGCTTTCCTCTTTCCAAGCAGAGGGAGCAGACTCCTGTGAGAGCACAGTGATGAAGGCATTGCTCTCTGGTCCTGACCCTTGGCTGCGTGCTGCAAAAGGTGCACGGAACCAACCTGGAGCATCCTGTTAACACCTGAGAACTGAACCATATATCAGGATCCAGGACCCCTCCTGGGTGCTCATCACCTTTCCTGCAGCACTTCTCTTTCCTCTCCGTGCCGGGCTGAAACCGTGCCACGGCCGCTCGCCCTCATGCTCCCCCTTCGCTTCTCACTTTCCCTCCCATTGGTTTCACGTTCCCTTCGCCACGCGGAAAAGCTTTCAGGCTCATCCAGCCCGGCAGCAGAGTTTATCCTGGTTCCACCCACTGGGACTTTCCTAGCTTCCTCCTGCACGGCGAGGGGAAAAAAAGGCAGAGGCAGACAGCAGGCATCCCGGGGAGCTCGGGGAGCCGCGGTGCTCCCTTCCCTGAGCTAGGTTTCTATTGTAGGCGGTGCATTCCTCGGGAGGGAGGGTGTGTGTGTGTCGGTGCCTTCCCACACTCCGGGCAGCTCTTATTTAATGGGGGTCTCCATGCAGGGCAGAAGGCAGAAGAGGTTTAGCCATTGCCAGTCTCAGCGGCAGCTCGTAAGCCAATTGCCGGCATGGATCACAGGGCTGAAATAACCCTGGAGGAGGCTTCGGCGACCGGCCAAGCCTCCAGGATGCACATCAGGGAGGACCTGAGGAGGATGCGCTGCGCCGTGCTGCTCTGCCTGCTGGCCGTGCTGCTGCTGGCGCTGCCCATCGCGTACCTGCTGGCTGGGAACCTGCGAGCACCCGCCTCCTGCTCCCAGGTAAGGCACTGCCGTATCTCCACCTGTGGAAGTTCTACTTCTCCCCTTGTAGTTGTGTTTTGTTGTTTGTTTTGTTTTTTAAAAATTTTCTGGGTCTGGTTCTTTCTTTGAGTTTATTGTGTTTAAGGGAAGGAGAGAAGCATGCTGTTACATGCTGTCATCCACATGCAGAGCCAATCTGCTGGGGTTATAGCTGATGTTTGCTTAGTCCCTGCTCCTCGTCTTTATTTCACTCAAGAACAAGATATGCCTTTAAAACTTTTGCTGGCATGCTGCTTGAAATTCTTAAGGGGAAGCTGTATTTGGTTGAAATCTGTGTCTCTCACTGATTTCAGCCAGATTTTGATACTCATTTTCCTCCCTCCTTTCAGATTAGCTCTGAGACTTCCCCTCCCATCTCCTGTTTCAGCAAACGTCTGCTGACCAAACGCTGATATCAGTGGGTCAGTGCCCATCATACATCACCCAGCAGTCAGCAGCAGCTCTCGTGTTATTAAAGTATAGCCCTGCACAGATACTATCTGGGACAACTATGGAGCCTGACCCTAAATTTCCCACTGTGTGATTTGCTCCCCATCAAAGCTTTCTCTACATCTGGGGAAGTTCTCATCTCTCTGATGAAACAGCTGAGCTCTCTTTGCTCCAGGGCTGGTGGAGGTGGTTACCACTAAAGCTCTTCTGTGCTGCCCCACTCCTGCTTGTGTCAGCCTGCAAGTGCTTCTTTCCATTCCATCCTATGAATCTATCAGGACTGCCCTATAGTAGAAGGAGAACACATGCATATAGCTCTGAAGAATGAAGGCTTGAAGGAACGTTAGTTACAGGTCTGAAATTCCACACTCAATTAGCCTGCTCGTCATGTGCTCACTTAGGAACAGCAGAAGAAAGCAGTGTTAATAAGTGGCCTCGAGGGTAAACTTTAGATGCAGCAACCATTTTGCTTGTGTGTATTTAGACAGTCTGACAGCTGTGCCTGCAGCTCTGTGCCTCTGCTTGTTTGGCTGCATGGAAAAGCACCGGCCCTGCTTTGAACCTGAGTTCATACCCAAGCAGAGGCAGCTCACAGTGCAGCATCTTCCACATTAACTTCTCACCCAGCTGGCAGGAGGTGCAACACCTTGGAACCTCAGGTTGCTAAACGTGCTGATTTCTTGCATGTGTGGAAGTGCTCACTGCTGTGCTGACCCTCCTGCTGCTATTTATGGAGTGGGTGCATGCAGTGAGAAGGCATTTGGGGCTGTCTCTTTGCTCTGTTCCCACCCTCTGAGGTTCCAAGCAGAACAGTTCAATTCCTGAGATGACCTTAAAGAGAATTAGTAATAGAATGAATTAATGATAGAATGCAAGCTGTTAGGTAGAATAGTGCATTCCTTGTTCCTGTTCTGCTGGCAGAGTCAATGGGGAAAAGTGTTTGTGACAGGGTCTGGTTTTTTAAGAGGAAAAGTGCAATGTAAGCCATTAGGTTTGCTCTAGCCTATACATGCCCTTCACAAGCATGTACTTCTATGCACTGAATTAGTGTGTAATAATCCCACGGTGATGCAATGAGGTGATCGGTTGCTTTGCAACCTTTGTTGCAACCTCAATGTCCCATTGAGGCAGGGAAAGCATCGGGGCTGGCTGTGTGCCCGTGGTACAGTGCCAAGCTGGGCGGGGGTGTGCCTGGCAGCAGCGTGCTGCATTTGCTGAGCTTTTCATTCATTCCTCCGAACTGTGAGCGTGTCACCAGCTTTCTCCAGCAGCAGAGTGCTTTGGGGTGGGTTTGCCTGCTTGCTGCTCGCTCCTCTGAGCTCAGCATGTCTGCAGCCCAGCTGGATCCAGGGGAGCGGTTCTGAGTATACAGGCTCTCAGGACCAGGTCTTTTTGTGTTTCCAGCTGCATTTGTAGAATTAGAATCGTGTTGCTGGAGGATGCCTTCTTCACATGTCCCATTAATAGAGAACTTAGCTGGGAGAAAGCATGTCCTGCATTTTGGTCACAACAACCCCAGGTAACCCTACAGGCTTGGGGAGGAGTGGCTGGAAAGCTGCCTGATAGAAAGGGACCTTGGTGTACTGATGGACAGCTTGCTGAATATGAGCCAGCAGCGTGTCCAGGTGGCCAAGAAGGCCAAAGGCATCGTGGCTTAGATCAGAAATGGTGTATTGAGCAGAACCAGGGAAGTAATCCTGCCCCTGTACTCAGCATTGGTGAGGTCTCATCTTGAGTACTGTGTTCAGTTTGGGGCACCTCAATACAAAAAGGACATTGAGGCACTGCAGCAGGTCCAAAGAAGAGCAGCAAGGCTTGTGAAGAGCTTGGAGAATATGGCCTAAGAGGAGAGACTGAAGGAACTGGGGCTGTTCTGCTCTCTTCAAATATCTGAAAGGAGATTGCAGCAAGAGCAGGGCTGGTCTCTGCTCATTTGTGATAGGATGAGGGGAAATGGCCTCAAGTTGTACCAGGGAGGTTTAGGTTGGATATAAGGAGAAAATTCTTTACATGAAGGGTTGTTAAGCACTGAAATGGGCTGCCCAGGGAGGTGTTTGAGTCACCATCCCTGAATGTATTTAAAAACCATCTGGATGTGGTGCTCAGGGACATGATTTAGTGGTGGGCTGTTAGAGTTAGGCTAGTATGGTTAGGTTGTGGTTGGCCTTGATGATCTTTAACATCTTTTCCAACCCGAGCAATTCTGTGGTTCTATGTGTTCAGAAGCCCTCACAGCAGTGCTTTTGGGCTGTGGGTGCCCTGGGCACACTGGAAGCAGGTGAGCTGGCCCTGCTTTGCAGCTGACATGAATTCACTCACTGACCATTGCAGCAGTGAGCTCACGGGAGGAGCCCTCCTGGTGCTGCAGGACCAGAGCTCAGCCCACACAGGATTATCTTTTTCCACTGCACTTGGGCCAGTCCTGGGCCACAGCTCCAGCATCAACTGGGAGGGACTGGTGCAGCTGAACAGGTGAGAAGCAGACGTAGTAAATCCCTGAACCCATCCTTCCTGGAGCAAGGAGGAGGGGAAGGGTTGTGTAAGCAGGGTGTGCCTCTGTGGCTGCAGGGTGAGACGGTTGTTCATCTCAGCTTCTGTGTGGGTGCACGTGGTGTCACACTCTCCTCGGAAGGGACATAAGCTCACCTTTTCCTCAGGAAATGCCCCTTTTAGGGAAGAGCAGTTATGTCATCACAGCCAACACGTGCAAAACTTGTGGTGAGCTGCTTCTTGTGTGAGTAACAGGCCTGATGATGGGTTCCCTGGACACCTTCCAGGCTCACACGGCTTCCCTGCTGGAAGGAGAAATCACTTTCTTTTGTTCGTCAAGACAAAGCGAGGTGAGGAAATAGGGTTCTCTAAGCACTGACATAGTTTGGGCTATTAGCAGGAAATTATAAAAGGCTGTGGGGCATCCTTCCCAGAAGGAAAACCAAGTTTGAATCTGAATGCATAAATGCACTGAAGGGAAGCCAGGCAAGCATCTCCATCCATCCTAGCAACTCACTCCATAAAGCTGAAAGTCGAGGCCTGCCCTGCAGATGTTGGTACCTGGGCTTGTGCTGGTGGGAACCTTAGCGTGGCAGGACCACAAGCAGAGCACAAGGGAGGTTCAGTATGAAACCAGTCAAAAAATTTGCACTTATACCTGTGTGCCATGTCAGCCTTGAGATGCTGCAGTACCGGAGGAGCTCAGCCTGGGTTTCCACCCTATAGTCCAAAAGGATGAAGCAGCAAAGATCAGAATAGGATTGGCAGAGCTGTAACCCATGCAGAGCCGGATGCCCTAATGGCCTGCCCAGGTGGGAAGGAGAACCCCAAGGAGGTGGTGGAGTTACCATCTCAGAAGGCTTTCAGGAAAAGGGTATATGTCACATTGAGGGATGTGGGTAGTGGGCATGGGTTGATCTTTGGACTAGTTAATATTAGTGGTCTTTTCCAGCCATAATGACTCTGTGATTCAAAATGACTTCCTGATCCATAGGGATGGAGAGGTGCTTGGGGAGCAGCAGGGAGCCTTGTACCGTGTCCTGGGTGTGGGAGACTCTCCCAAAAGCCATAAAACTGCTCTTTGATGCTTATGGTCCTCACAGGCAGAACAGCCAGTATATGCCACAGCCCAGTCAAAACACACACAGCATTAAGGACAGTTTTTGCCAAACTGCCAAAGATGCCCAATCCAGGCCATGCAGCACCCCTGGGCTGAGGAAAAACCAAGTGCAAGCTCCATGTGTGCCCTGCAGAGACCTGCTATGAGATTGCACCTTGTGCTAACAATGGAGCTGGGGATGTTTGGCTGATGAATCCCCCACCTCCACTGCCAGCCTGCTTTTCCCAGGCTGTTCTCCTGGACAACCCCAGCCCTTCCTTGAGGTGCAAAGGGGATGTTTTGTATTTGCCCTCCTCCTGGGCTGTAGATGTAAATGTGGAGGGACTTTGGGTAGTAGTGGAGTTTTGATACTGCAGCTTTCAGGGTTACCATAGGTGCTGGAGATGCCCTTTGCTCCCAGCTCAGCTGTAGGGCGGGATTTTCAAAGTTGCTCAATGCTGCTTACATTTTCTCTGCTGTAACCAAAGGGAAAACTGTGGCCATTTGGTGAACTTTACAGAAACACAGCTAAGCAAGAAAGGAGAATAGAGAAAAATGCTAATTGTGTGGTTTCTCTATGCCTTGTGCTGCTTGGCTCTCCCTCACCCTCCCTCATCCTGAAAGCTCTTTATGCACCTCATCCACACCCCCAATGTACATCAGCAGCACAAGTAGTGCTAACGCCAGGCTATTGTGTAGCCTTTTTAAGTACTAAAATATTTTCTGTTTAAGTTTAGGTTTGTGTCCTTATCAAACAGCACAATTAGGAAAAAAACTCCACCTTTGCTACGCAAAGAACACGTTCACACCATGCAGCACAGTGCTCTATCTGCTGCTCTTCAGCACACAGAATGCAGCTGCTGCTCGAGGAGTTACCCATCTGGCATTCTTTGCAAACAAGTAAACAGAGGTTGCATAAAAAGCTTCTTTACAGCTGGCTGACAAAACCATTGTGATGTTTCTGACGGGGCGGTGGGGTCCTTCCCTCTTCCCTCTCACCTCTGCTTTTATTTCAACACCTGAGTGTACTTAAGATATGTAAAGTTAGGCTTTAAGCAAACAGCTCCACTGAAGTTACGTCATCAAGTGTTGTGATTTGTGATTGATTTGTAGCTCTTTGTGGCACTTAGCATTGTTTGAAAATATGCTACTTGATAAATATGTAGGAAGTGTTGCATCGGTACTGCTGTAATTCTGTGCACGTGCATCTGGCCAAAAGCATGGGAGTCTTGGAGGGAAATCCTCACGCTCTCCTCATACTTCCCATCAGGAGAAAGGCTGTGGCTGTGTGCCATGGAAGGGACAGCAAGCAAGTGGCACCTCAGAGCGGATGTATTTATTGCAGCATAGCACACAGCATACCCCACCAGACAGCCCCTGGCTGCCTGCATTCCCTTAACCATTCACTTCCATCCACACTGCAGCATCATTGCCAATCACAGTGCCTGGCACCAGCACATCCCCTTTGTGTCACAGGGATGCAGAGCCAGCATCTCACACCTCCTTCCTTCCCCCTGCAGCCACACTGCTTTCCAAGCTGCTAGAAGAGGGCTGGAGCTACAGGAGCATGGCAGGCTGTGAGCAGCCCATCAGAGCATAGCATGCAGCCAGCAACACCTTGTTCTTTTTGCTGCTCAACCTCAAAGGCTGGCACTGCTTGGCACAGGCACTGTCACTGTGGGGATGTGCTCATGCTTAGTGCTAAGGGAAGGTTTAAAGTGCAAACAAATGTGAAATAATCTTGCCCACAATTCAAGACCTGCCTAAGCAGTAGGCTTGCAGCCTGAAATAATGCAGATGTAGAAAGAGAAGCTGCAGGTTTGTAGATGGTACACCTCTTACTCTCTTTACTGGTGTTTCAAATGCACCATGCAGATGTTTGAAGCAGAGAAGAGCATCTCATGCTGTGCTGCTTGCTCCATTTCACTGCACAGATGGAGAGACAGCAGCCACCAGGCAGCGATACTCCAGCAGTGCTGCTTGGAGGCACTGGCCCAGGAGCGATGGTTCCTTCCCTCAGTGCTCCCCAAGCTGTGCCAGGGGTTTGTCCAACCCATGAGCTGAGCACAGCCACTACAGCAGCCCAGCTCCTGCCCCAACACCTGCCTGAGATGTGAGTGGCTTCAAACAAACAGTGAGAAACTCTTGCATTGAAGCAAAGCTCTGTCAGGGCTTGTCCTTTTACATAAAAGCTTTAACTGAGGAGGAGGATATCAGTGTACCATCTCCTGTTTTGGGGGGTAAGCAAACTGGATGTGGTGCAGGAGCCCTGGGGCTAACTGCTTGCACATCTCTCTTGCAGGTCGTGGATGAGAGGAGCTCTCACTTTCTGAAGCAGCGGGCAGTAGCTGCTGGTAAGTGTGCCAGCCCCTTTTCCCATCCTCACCATCTTTGTTTGCCGAGGTTTTGCAATTGCTGACGCAGCCCCTGGGGCAGACAGCTCCCTGCCTGCCCTCACCACGAGGATCCAAGCATGCCAGGGCAGGGTCACGGGATGTGGGGAGATGGGTACCGCTGGGGCCATAGCAAGGAGTGAGCATTCCCAACCCCAGACAGGGCCAGCTCCATCCCAGGGTGGGCTCACACCTCCCAGCACTTCGCTGGCACCAGTATATCTCCCTTAGTGGGCTGAAGCGTGGATTTGGGAGCCTGTGAATTCATCCCTCACACCTCCCTTCCACACATTTAAACCTTTTTTCTCTTTTTTTCCTCAGTTACAGACACGCTTCCCAGTGCTGAGAAGCCAAGAGCACACCTGACAGGTAATGCTTGTTCCAAACCACTGTTTCCTTTGGGTCTTACAGCTGTTGCAGTGCAATAACCACGGCTTACAGGGTCTGATAGGATCAAGCTGCAAGATGCAGTGGAAGAAGTCACCAGCTTTGCCTCATTGACCACAGCAGTTTTACCACAGCAGTGTCTATAGGAAAGGGCCCACAGAGGAGGCAGCTGGCAAACATTGCCACTTCTCTGGGCTGTTGCTGTCATTGTGTGAGCACTTGGGTTCCTGTGACTGAGCTGCCTGCCACGTTAGTGATCTGCTGAGAACATTGGTGGGAAGAGCCCAAGTGAGCTGTGAGTTAGGAAGATCTGCCAGTTTTGGAGTAAAATAAGACCAAATAAGGCTGGTTTTAAGGTGTTTACTTTTTCTGCAAGTCCAACCTGAAGCCACACACAGCAAATTCCCATCAATATCTTCCTGGTTTTGGTGAGGCCAGATGTAATGTGCGTTGGAGCAACCAAGTGAAGAGCTGTATGCAGCTGAGCCTCTCAGCTTGTGTTGGCTAGGAAGATGCCATCTCAAAACATCACCACTTCAGCATTGAAGCTGGGGCTGTCAGCACACTGGAAGGAACTTAGGGAATACCACCTGAAGAAAAGATTTGTAGTTTCCTGAGTGGCTGGGACTGAGAGCTGAGGAGCTCTCCCAGCTGCTCTGAGCTCCCCCCTTATGTCCACTAATTTATACCTCCCCAAAATATAGCTCACTTGCAGAGGCTTCCTAAGTACCCTGTGTGTTGTCTCAGGGAAGCACTGTAGTAACTTGAAGCATGCAAAAAGTTACACGAGGCTTAACACACGTATGCACAGGGTTATCAGTGCTTCAGGGCTGATTTATCAACCACCATAGTTTGTTTACTTTCCCTAACTCACAAGCTCTTTCTTAAAGCATTCTTATGTCCCAACCCTAGAAGATATAATTGCAAAATGGATCTGTGCTTGCTCAAAATACATAGAATCACAGAACTACAGAATATCCTGAGTTGGAAGGGACCCACAGGTATCACTCAGCCCAACCCAGCTCCACACAGGACCCCCTAACCCTATGGCAGAGGGCAGTGTCCTTGAGCTCCAGGGCTGTCCCACTGCCCTCTGGGGCACAGCTATTCCCCAACCCCACTGGGCCATCCCCTGACATCTCCATGTCATTCCCCCTGGTCTGCAGAAGAAGGACCTTGGCTGCTAATGTAGGTCCCTTTGTTTCCCAAATCTCCACATGACCAAGACCCAGAGGCTCTCAGTGCAGCTGACTCACAATTGCAGCCCAAGTGTTGCTCTGCTGATGGGAACTTCCCTGGGTTGCACAAAAGTCCAGCAGTCACAGGGAAGCACCCAACAGTTCGCTTCCAATTTTCTCAGACCTCTGTTTGAAACTCTTCCACCATCACTCCCAAGGAGTGCCCTGGGATGGGGCCTGTCCACCTCCTGCCTCAGCCCCATCAGTGTTATCTGGGAGAAGGAAAAAGCAAGGGGAATTTTCTCACTTCTTTTCTGTGCGTAACAATGTCGGGAGCCTGAGCTGAAGGCTGCTGTGCCACTGAGCCACCAGGAAACAGGCTTACATGAAGTTGGCTTTCAGCTTTCTTGCCAGGTTCAAGCACTTCTCTTTTGCTTTTCTGCACCCTGCAGCAGTGATTTCCTGAGCTCAATGCAGAAGTCTTTGGCGTTGTTCTAAACTTGTTATTTAACGATTTCCTGGGTGTCCTTCTGGTCTTCACTTCTCTGAAACCACGACTCGGGCGGAGAAAGTGAAAAAGGAATAATTCAGACTTTTGTACATTCCCCCACTTCGGGTGCCTGGTTCACTGTGCAGATAGCAGGCTAGGTGCTTTTCCTCATGGCAGATCTTCTCCAGAGCTCCAGCTGCCCCTCTCTGTCTCCTTCTGGGTTTAGGAACGTCTGTTTTAAGTGTAAAAGCAGAGTGAGAGGAATGAGAACTAACCGGAGTGTTTAACATGGGAATGCACCACTGAATGAGCAGCAGCAGGATGACTCAATGTTTGGGTCTCTGTTCCTTTATGAAAGTTTCTTCACCTGTTCTTGGCCTCTGGAAAATACACAGAGCAGTTTGGACTCATCCATACCGAGACCTCCCTCTCCCTGTATGCCAGTGAAGAACAGTCAGTGTCAACCCCAGCTGGGGCTTTTCTCCACCCTTCACAGTGTCCCATGCAGTAGTTCAGATTTGGTGCTGACCACCACCATCCCTGCAGCCCTCATGGGGCCGTGCTTCAGGTCAGGAGACAGACCAGTGCCTGCATGAGATGGCATGGCACAGCTGGATGAAGCGTGTTATGGACACCCACCAAGGACCTGTCCAGCACTTGTGCTGTGATGCTATCTGAACACCTTGCTAAATCTGGGTAGAAAAGAACTTCCTGGCCCCACTTGGCTGTTTGGCAACCTCTCCTATGAGGAAAGGTTGAGGGAACTGGGCTTGTTTAGTTTGGAGGGAGCTTATAAACAGGAGGGGGAATGGATAACGATAGGACAAGGAGGAATGGTCTTAAATTGAGACAGGGAAGGTTTAGGTTAGGAAGTTTTTCAGCCAGAGGGTGGTGAGGCACTGGAACAGGTTGCCCAAGGAGGCTGTGGATGCCCCATCCCTGCAGGCATTCAAGGCCAGGCTGGATGTGGCTCTGGGCAGCCTGGGCTGCTGGTTGGTGACCTGCACACAGCAGGGGGTTGGAACTGGATGAGCATTGTGGTCCTTTTCAACCCAGGCCATTCTATGATTGTATGCTTTTAAGATCAATTATTAAATTTCTTAAAAAACAGAGACCCTGCAGCCTCTGTGTTTTGCAACTCGTGCAGCACAAGACCTGAGCTGTGCAGGAGACCAAGACCCTCATCTCCTTCCTAAGGTACAGCTCAGTGTCACCAGTGAGGGCCATGAACTGTAGAAACCCAAGTTCACCAGCATGCCACCAATGCAACCAAGTGACAGGGATTCCCCAGCAAGTGACTAAACCAAAAGGGATTTTAGGAAAAGAGAAGAAATTTTACATCTGAGAGATGCACAAAAAAACAAAAGTGAAAGGGAAACTTGAAGGAACTGCAGCAGTAAATCCCATAGTGAAAGCAGATTTTATTTACTTCAAAGATTAGCATAAGATGTGTATTTGCAGGAAGTGCAGCTCCATATACTTAAGAAATAAATGAATGACAAGTACAGCTGTGCTGGAAATGGAACTGTACAATATTCAGAGGCACTTCAACATGCATCTTTCCTGATGTATCTCTAAATCATGGGAAAATTTGACCAGCCTGAAAATGGAGAGCATCAACAAAGTGAGTTTTAAACTAAAAGGAAGGTCAGAGCCATAAAACTTAGAATTGCCTCATTCCAGAAGTTATGAAATAATGCGTTTCATATGAGACGCTTCATAGTTATTAAAAACACTGATGAATTGAGTGTCACTGACATCTCAAATGCGTCACTGGATATGTAGAAAAAGAATATTTCTCCTGAAGCTTCTCCTCCATTTTTTTTCCCTAACTACCCAAGATGGAAGAGAGCCCAAAACTCTTTCAGGAAATGTTATCATCTTTTCTTATCTTCCTCTGCCACCACCCTGTATCAGAAAGACCTTACTCCTTAGCCACAGTGACCCCAATGCCGTGTTAGTTTTTGCCAGGTCCCAAAGCAGATGAGAACACAGACCATGGGTACTTTTGTTTTCTTTTCCTTCTCTCTTTCTATATCAAGCAAAGCTCTGTTTCCTCTAAGCCTCACATTCGTTATAATACTTTTAGCTTGGCTTGCTATCACAGTCCCTGTCGATCGTCTTCCAGCAAAGAAATACTCCATGTGCTTTGCCTTCTGGGAAAAGATAGAGGGATTTAATTTTTCCGAGCACTGACAGGCAGGCTGGGAAAAAAGCCATTATTTTGTTGTGCTACTGAGAGAATATGCAAGAAATTGCACTCCTAACAGCAGCTTGTTTTCTTATGGGTTATCTATTGTCAGAAAACAGGAAAAAAAAGGATGTCACTGGGGGCTGAGGGTATTTGTTTTCCTGAATCTCATTCCCCCCAGCATAAACCTAATAGACGTTGCCAAGAGCATTTCTAAGCTCATCCCCACCCGCCTTCAGTTTGCTTCCATGCTTGTGCACACACACCCTATCCGCAAATGCTGAATCATAATTGACCTTCAGCATTAACTTAAGCTCATGAAAGCCGCTCCCTGGTTCTTCCCCCCGAGTCCTGAGCATCCTGATCCCCTGCTTAGATCAGGCCGTGCTGGGGATGGATTGGAGCTCTGTTTGTCATCGGTTAACCACGAGAGCGTTTCTGTTTGTTGGTTGTTCTGTCTGAAGTAAAGCTGAAGATAACACTGAGCTTAGTGTTCTGTCCCAAACGTTTTCAAAACGGAGTTAAAAATGGGTTTCATTACAGCGTGTCACTTTGGAAGTGGGTGTTTTAAAGCACAGTGGGGTTTTCTAGCTTGATGGTGAAATCGAAGGACGGCAGTAAAGGAAAAGCAGTTTTATAGCAGAAGATCTCTTGCACCCAGCAGCAAACCCCATCTCTAGCCTCCAGAAGTAACCTGGCAGGAAGAATTCAAGGCTCTCAATTCTCAGTGATAGATCACAGTGATTGTTGTGAAGCTTCTGCAAGCAAACAGAGCCTGTTGTCTTCAGTTAGTAGCAGTAGTTAGCACTCCTATGGCACAAACACAGCTGCAGTCCATCACTACTCATGAAGACATTGCTCTCATGTCTCTGACTGCTGTCCTGAGCCATTAGGTGCAGACACGTGCCCAGCTGTACAACTGGCCCAGCACTGCTTTCACTTAAGAACAAAGTTTATCCTTTGTAAATGGGTGAGAGCACTCCAGACCTATGAGCAAAAGCCATATGTGTCCTACCCCACAGTGAGACAGCCTTTGGGACGGACAGTCCCATCATTTGGGATGCCCTGTGGACACCCAGCTGTAACCGAGCCCTGCGGGCAGCATGCTCCAACCAAGGTCCTCCAACTTTGGCTTGGTTACTCAGATCTGGACATCCTATAGGCAGCCTCCAAAAGTATCTCCTGACAGTTGGCCTGCAGCTGACTGACTGTAAAGGAAGAACATTTCTCTCCTAGAGTTTTGATTGCCCTGTGAAGGAAAGATCCTGTATTTCTCCACCTGGAGCAAACTAACACATCTCTTCTCCCTCTCTCTGTCCTGCAGTGAAGAAACAAGATCCCTCCAGTGCCACAGGAAAACATCTGCCCATCCTGCAGTGGGAAGACAAGCGAGGCTTGGCCTTTACCAAGAACAACCTGAGTTATTCCAGCAACGCACTGGTGATACCTGTGTCTGGGGATTACTATGTCTATGCTCAGGTCACTTTCCGAGGGCCCAGTGACACTTCAAGTAAAACCAATTCTGTTACTGCAGTCATCACTAAAGTCACTGACAGCTATCCCGAGCCCACCCAGCTGCTGACCAGCAGCAAGACCCTTGGTGAAGAAAGGAACAACTGGTTCCAGCCCATTTATCTGGGAGCCGTGGTTTCCTTAGAGATAGGAGACAAGCTAATGGTCAACGTTAGTGACATCAAGCTGGTGGATTACACTAAGGAGCACAAAACCTTCTTCGGTGCCTTTTTATTGTAGGTCTCTGGCAGCCTCTGGCCCCTTAAGGACCCTGGTTTGGTGGTTGCATGTTGGGGTGCTGGTCTCTGTGCTGTCCACTGTGCTTCACTCACCTGCTGCCTTTAATTATGGGGTGGGGAGAGCTGGAGCTGCAGGATGAATGGAAACAGCCCAAAAAACTCCAGAAAAATGAAAGTCAGACTTAAAGGATGATGGGGATTCTGGAAAGCTCTGTATATTGGAGAGGAACCTTTTTTTATGGGTTGGGTAGGGATATTTATCGTAAATAGGCTAGGCTGCATCACTAATTCCTTTTCCAGTATATCATTTCTTCAACTGAAAAGAAGTGTTTTAAACTTTCTCCAGCACTTCCAGTGTAATTTTGCATCACCTTTCTTCAGATTCTTAAAGGCAATTACAATTAATAATTTCCTTAAACATAATTCAGTACTTTGCACTAACATAAAGCCCAGATTAATCATTAACTGCTCAATTAATCACTTCCAGTTTTCCTGTAAAGTAGATTAAAATTATATCATGTGTTTTGCAGAAGCTACCTGATTTTCTTTTATTTTCCAGGATACAATTTACAGATATTTAAGTCAATCTGTAGGCTTTAGCTTTTATGTAAAACTCCAGGGAACATGCAGAAACATTTTCATTTCAGCATGACCGTGGAATCCCCCCACCAGATCCAAACATTAGGAAAACAGAAAAACAAAACAAAACAAAAAATCAAGGCGGGGAGATATGCAGAAACATCTTCCACACTTTTGAAAATCAATCACAGAAATTTAAAAAAAAAAAAAAAATTGCTCTGCAATATTTTGCTTTCCACCGTGCTTCATGCAAAGCAAATGCAACTAAAGACATCAGTGCCCTCCTAACGCTTTGCAACCACTGCTACAGCGATCTGCTGACGCAAAGGTCTCCCCATCCTTTGCCTGGGTGCAGGCTGATGGCCAGTAGTCCATGCATAAGGTCAGCGGATCCAAAGAGAAGCTCACAGTGTGCCATGGCCAACTACAGAGCTTGGGAACGCTTAGCTTCCCATCTCGTGCTTCTTTTTCTCATAGACATTACTATCTCAGGGAAATTCCCCAGCTCTCCTTCTCCTCCCACAATAAATACATCACTGTCAGTGACTCAAGTCACGCTCTAGTTTGTTTAGGCTTTACACACTTAACTGCTTAGTGGTCTCTCACTTGAGCCCCTACCAGGCAGTTGTTTGGCAGGGTCTGTCCAGTGGCCAGGCTGCTCTCTCTGCAGCTCTTCCTCTTTCTTCCCTTTCCCCATTGGGCTCCTTCCTTCTTGGCCAGAAGTGTCACCAAGATGGCCTAGCTAACATTTCCACCCAAAGACATGGGCCCCAGCAGCATGCTGTTAGCATCAGGGAGGCACCCAGCACCCAGTCTGGTCTTCTTACTCTCCAGAAGGGCAGCTCACCATCACCACCTCAGCAGGGCTTTTCCCATTGCTTAGAAGCCCCAGCTTTTCTCTTTGCACCAATATGGTAAAATCACAAGTCCAGGAAAAGTTTATTCCTCTGGGAAACCCTAAGACTTTCCATTTTTTTTAGATTTTAGGTTTGAGTCCTTCAGAGCTTCTGATCCCTTCATTTTGTGCCCAAAATTGGATCTGCATTCTTGCAGACCTCCATAGAAAGGCACATAGGTGACCAGCACCCCAAAATTCATTATTTCACAAAGAGAAGACTTAAAGGGACCTGTCCAGGACAGGGGATTCTCAGCCACCAGTTAGAAAAGCTTCTGTGAAGTTAATAGGACGAATTTGGTTTATCCTTGGAGAAAGTTGAAAATGCAAATTCTAGCTTTACTGAGATACTTACAGAAATCCAGAAAGGTCTTTATTTCTACAAATGAGATTATGTAACACTCTTATGAGGCCATAATGCAATCTCAATAGCCTTGTAGAACAGATTTCCATAAAAACTATATTTTAAGTTGTCATCCCTTACTGCTTGTTGCACTGAATGACGTTTAATATGGGTTCTAGGGGAGAGGAGTCATGCGTGTAGTATTTGGCTCACAGTAAAAGAACCTTCTAGGGATACATAAATGTACATACACAGATTTTCTTATATATCTAAGCATACTCTACGTACACGTTTTAGGAAGTGCTTTGGCAATGATGAGCCATTTCTATAACAAGACACATAATTTGTGCCTGCTGTACACTGACGACAAATTCCACAAGAACAAAATCTCCTGCTGCTGTATCAGATACAGATGTGACTGTCTTGTTCCATTGGCCATAGCACTAGTCTATTTATTTTAGTTCATGCCTTGCAAGCTGTCCCACCCCATCTCACACACCAGCTTCTAGCACGTTTAGCACACCAGCACAATTTATAGAGCATAACGTAACATATCTAGCATTACTTGTTTTAAAGTAATGCAGGCAGATTAATCCAAGCACACCTACCCCAGTGGAAATTTCTATTTCTCCCTTTTTTTTTTTCCCCCCTCTTAGTGCTAACAACGCTTCTGTAACAGTGACCAGCAGTGCACCCAGGGCTGGCTGTGACCCCACTGACTGCAGAAGCCAATGGTACGGCACTGGGGTAAAGCTGCTTAAGGGGAATAGAGGTCAGGCTCAGAGGGCAGGGTCTCAGGCAGACTGCGGGTGATCAGATTTTCCCCAAGCTAATTAAGGACGGAAGCGTTCTCAGAAAAAAAAAAAATTACCGTTATTGGGTTAGAAAAAAAAGTTTCTTTAATGTAAATCGTTGGTGGAGATGCGAAGATGCCCATAGGTCAGCATTTTCAGTTGAATGAGGTGACGAAATGGGGCCTTGTGGACAAGTGACCTTTCAGCCTGCGGTCAGGCTGAAAATACGTTTTGTTTTGGGTGGATGTGAAACTGAGACAGTTGGAAGAAGCTCTCCAGGCTAGAGGAAGAGCTTCAAGAAGGCAGCTTATGTTCACGAGCTAAAAATAATGGTACGATTTCTGGATTTGGCCCTTTCATCTCTCAGAAAAAGACATTTAAGCACTATTCAGTACAAAAAAACATTGAAAGGAACTGTTTCAATTTTTGTTGGCTTTGTTGTTGTATATTTTTTTATGAATATTTATTAACAAAAGACTTTTGTTCTTAGGAATTCTTTTCTTCTCCGATTTCTTTGATCTCTAACACTAAATATAACCCAAATTCCTAAAGCAGTTCTCTTACCCACTGCTTCCTTTCCCCTTAAGATCTATATGTTAGTAAATGAGCATTCTCTCTGCATCAGTAAGTAAATCTAAATCAAGCTATAAGAGATTACAGCTCCAATCTTACCAACATATATGCATGCCTTGCTTAGTCTTAAGCTTGTTGGTAAAATGAATGCCATTGTAAGAGGCAGCTCAGTTTCCCTTCGTGGCGTACAGGAGTAAAGCCAATTAAAAGTTGATTGGTAGAATGTTTTAGCCATGTTTACCCCGAACAACACCATTACATGGGTAACCTCTCAATAAGGAGAATCACACACCTTCAGCCCATGTGTGTTGGCAGGATTGGGGTCTAGAGGTGGGAAGTTAAAGGTCGTGTTTCTGAGTCAGACAGCATCAAGTAGGCTGGTGGGAAAAAATTTTGGACGTGCCAGTTTGGTGAATGTGAGTTTGAGCCATCACTCAGAAGGGAGGGACACGACCAGGCTACACTAACCAAAAGGAATGGGTTAAAGTGTTGTGATTTCCAATACACACACACACACAAAATGTATTTTGAGAGAACATTGTCATTCAGCTCTGTACAATCCAACTGACTGCATTGTGTCTTGCTTTTATTAATCTCTTGAGTGGCCCATCATTTCAGATGGGAAATGAGGAGAAAATTCATTCTTTAGAAGAATCAGACAGTGTCAAGAATTTTTGCCCAAATCTGGGTATTAAACGCCAGTATAGCATTTTGCTACTGTAATGTATTTTCATATAAATGATTGTATACTGTTTTGTGCTTCGGTACCGGTGTGAGCCTTCAGCAGCAGAACTGACTGTAGTGGTTTGTTTCCAAGTTTCATGATAATAAAAATACAAGTTAACTAATTTAAAAGCTTCTGATCCTGGTCTCCATCCAAAAACACTAACGAAATCACACGCAAGAGCGATCTGCCCATACAGCCAGAGAAACCTCCTCTGCTGCGCATCAATCATCCTTGCTTCCAGGCACACACAGTGAGTGATCCCCCACCAGAGTGAACTCAGACACGGCCTTTTTTCTTTGCCATGGGGAATGTAGGGCTCCCATTTCAAAAGAAAACATGTGAAGGTTGAGCAACGCCCTGCTGAGCACATGAGGAAGATGAGAATATTATTCCAGCCAACTTTGGATATCGTCACCTGATCAAAGAGCCGTGTTTGCCATACCTCTACATGAGAGCACCTCAGTGGCTGGGGGACTGAGTGTGTCCAATTGCTTTCCACTAGCAGAACCCAGAAACCTTCTCCCAGCTGGCATACTATTTCTTATTTGCACTGTTGTTGGTATATCCCAGGATTGAACTCCAAGTACCATTTTTAAATTGTTTTAGGAGAGGTTTCTGGTTAAGGGCTACGTGCTCTGGCTTAAGCGAGGCTCTCACCTGGAAACTCAGGGGGAGGAATCACGTTCAGGCATGTTTACCCCAGCTTTCACCCACACTCACATACCTGAGATGTTTTGTTAGGCTGTGAGTGGCAGCTTCCACAGATCAGCCAAAAGTTAATTAAGCAGTCAGCATCAGACTTTCTCCTGTAGAACATCCACATCAAAGAAGGTGGTTTTTTTTTAATTTATTTTTATTTTTTATTTTAATACGATAGTTATCTCAAGTGAAAAGCTTTTTATTAAGATATTTGTTAACAGCAGCAGCTGTCCGCAGTGGTTACACAGCACTGCACTTAAGCTGCCCAAATACTTGCTGCCTGGGTAGAACATAGGGCAGCTATGGATATAGACATGTATCTTGATGGAAGGAAGAACCTTACCTTCAAATGATGAATTTGCTACACCATTAATTTCTTCCTGGAGAGCAGGACATTACCCATGGTAGTTTTAACTTCCTGAGATGCCCAACCACAGCTATTTGTGGTTATATGAATAGATATGAATATGAATCTATTTGTTCATGCAAAAAATTCGTGCCAGCTTTGTTCACGTACAAAGATCCCTTTTCCAGGCTGGGGACACGTGCTGTGTCACAGTACTTCCAGCTTTTGGGGAGATCACTGAGTTCACTCTGGCAGGGTTTGGAGACTTTGTCTCTTCAGCATCTTGCAGGATGGAGCACAAAGTGGAGGCAATCTGCACCCCCAGGAACAGCAGGGGTTATACACTTTCCAGCTCATCAACAAGCAGCTGAATGAGGGCTCTGTTTTCTAGCACACTCAGTTGCTGTCAGACAGGTTCTTAAAGGAAATTAGGGCTCCATGATGCCAAAGACAGATAAGAATCTCTTCAAAAGTGCGAAAGCAGGAGCCAAGTTTGTCAACAGCAGCAATTCCAAGTTTGTTTTGCCTTAGAAGTAATAGAAGCACCAGCTTATATACAACATTATCAAGTGCCCTAACTCCATAATGTTTTGGTGGGATTTTTTTCAGAATTATGAAAAACTTTATTCCAGACTCCTCATTTTTGCACAAATCAAGCTATGTTCTTCCATCGCCTGTAGATTTTTATATTAAAAAGACAAAAAGGCACTGGAAGTGTATTTTTTTGTATATTTATTGGCACTGTACATATATATATGTCAATTTTATGTAAGTGACTGTAAAAATCAAGGTACAAACTTGAGACCTATCGTTCTCAGCAGCTTTCTCCTTCAGCAGATGGCTTTGATATCTTCTAATGATGAAGTTTATCAATAGTTTGTTTTTAAAATCACTTTGTATCTGAAAGCTAAATAAATAAATAAATAAATAAATGAAAGCACTTTATTTGATTCACCTTCATTCCTGACTCGTTCTGTACTTTCATGAGCATCCACCAAAAGCTCACGTTTCCAACTGCAAAGAGCAGGAGTTTGTTCACCCATGGCAGTGTGGTTAAGTGTGCTGTATTTTTCACACCATACGTGATTTCCCAGATCACAGAATCACAGAATTGTAGGGTTTGGATGGGATTTCTGGTGAGATATTGGCATTGCTGCTCAGAAGGTGGTGGAGTTACCATAGCTGGAAGTGTTAAAATGGGAGATACCACACTGGCTGAGACGGTCTACAGCAGTTGTTGGCATGGGTTGATGGTTGGACTGGATGACCTTAGTGGTCTTTCCAACCTGAGTGATTCTATAGTATGTGCAACTGTTACATGAAATGTGAATGTATTTACAGCTCACATGCAAAAATCCCCAAGCTTCAAGCTGGTCTCCGCAGGCAGGATTCAGAGGCACAGCTGTGCATGTAGAGACCAAAGTGGAAGAGATCTATTAAGATGAAACCATGCAAGCCACTGCCAGAGCATGATTATCACTCAAAATAGCTATTTGCTCACTACACTTCCTTTCTCTTGACAGTTCCTAAAAACAAAGCATGAAAAATGGTATCCTTCCAAAGATATGGCAAGGGCTGCTCCAGCCCTAACCCTCTAGCAAGATGACTTCACTTCTTGCAGATACCCCACTTCCTTTTCTTCATGTAAATCAGGGGAATCTCTAGTACAAAAACAAGGAGATATGAAACAACTTCTTGCTGTAGCGGTGGGACTGTTCCTCTTTGCTACAGAATTATCTGGCGAGTAGGTAGAAAAGGCATTACAGCATTTGGAAAACTCCCATGTTTGTACAGACCTCTAGGTCCACTGAAACTACACAGTTCTGCTCTGCTAGCACCACCGTACGTGTGCTGACATCTCATTAGTTTACATTTGGAGGTCGTGCCTTTATGCTTCTTTGATGAAGGATGCTAAAAGAAGAGGTGAGGTTGAAAAAAGACTTTTTCTTCACCCACAGGCTGCTGGCAGTTCTCACTCTGACTACAGATGTAGGACTGATCTCCTGCATAACCCATTACTGCTACCCCTCTACAGTCATAAATTTTGATGCCTGTTCATTAGGCATGTTCTGTCGAGCATATTGCTCCTCAATTACAATCCAAATTTCAGGGAAGCATTTATGCATCTATTCGAAGCCAAATGCTTTGAACAAATCATTTTTTTGGCAAGCGTAGTTTTCTGTGGAATTGCTTTCCTGCTTCAGTGGGGCACCGCTGGGATGGTGCTTTAAGGCTGCGAATGTAGCGATGACAACACAGTTCCTTCAAGTAGTTTTAGTTTATTCTTGCAGAAAGTTCTCAAATGGTAGTTGAGAAAAAAACACCGTTTTTCCAGCAATGATGTTGGATAGAGAAGCTTGCTGGCGCAGCTGCCACGAGGATTTTTCTTCTCTCATACTGTCACAGGGTGAATTTCCTAAGTGGCAAAGCTGACTGCCCTGCTCTAGCAGCACCTGCTCTGTCCTTGCTAAAAAACCCCCAAGGAAAGCACACGTGCTGTGAGCATATGTGAGTGCCCTCAGTGCAGCCAGGCAGCCCACACTGCTTCCCCCTGTGCTCAGCACTGCTAGATTGCCTTCCTGCCCTCCTGCATCCACGTTTGCTGCAGCAATGCTTTGACAAAGTGCTTCCACGCCTATGACTTTTAAGAATAAACTCACAACTAAGAAATCTGTGAACGGAATAATAGTAAACAAGTTGGGGTTGTTTGTTCCTTCTATTCTTCCCATCTCCTGTGGCAGATTCCTCACATTCCCTGCCTGCTGTATCAGGGCACTGCCACCAGTTTCAACCAGAGGATGAGGAAAGCCCTTGAGCCGGGGCAGCACCGCTCACCTGGAGCACAGGATGTGTGAGATCAGTCTCTCCTTCTTGGCCAAGGCTTTGGAACATTACAAGTCTGTGACAACATTCATGTTTCCTGTTGTTCGTCATACAGCAACCTGTGTCACATTAAAGAAACCTCATCCGAAGCCACTCATCAGAAAGCCTCCAAATGGGAACATTTGGATACACTGTCTGATCTGTGGCCGTTCTTTGCTGCCAGAGCAGTTCTGGAGCCACAGGAGTTAGTGTGGGTGCTGATAACCCAGAGGATGCACCATATAAAACCATCCTCCAGGGATGAGAGAGCTCCCTACCAGGACCCACTTTAGTCCCAGTAGGGAGGTCAGGACTAGATGACAGCCTCAGACAGCTCCCAGTCTCTGATAAGAAACACCACCAAGAAAATAAATCTTTTCATCCTGCCCTCCTTCTCCCATCTTTATACGCCATTAGTCTCTGATCTCTTCAGCAAATAGGCAGTATTTCCCTCTTCTTTCCCTATCCACTCTAGGTCATGCAATCCCGGGGCCAAGGGCCCACCCTGCAGTTCTCTGAAATCATGCTCCGAGGATTAAGGCTGCTCTCTTCCACAGCACAGACTTTCCACACAGAAGGGCTTCACGAGGAATTTCAGAAGCATGTCAGCAGGCTCAGCCAGCAGAATGACATCTCACTCACCCTGTAGTCACCACTCTCAATTCTTCCCATGGATGGGGAGCAGAGAAAGCCTTTGGCTGAAGAAGGAAAGGTTCAACTCAATCACATGCAACAGGAAACATCAGATAAGCATTAGCCTGAGCTATTGCAATACTTGAGTGCTTTCCACTCACGCACTCAAAGGAGTACTTTACAGAATTGACTAAGTAGCTAAATATAGTTAAATAAATAAATATCGTAAGCAGATGATCTCCCTCAGCTTCCCACTGCAGCCTTCCCAGATAACTCATCATGCCTCACATTCCCCCTATTCCTTCAATGATCAGCACACCCAGACACCTGAGCCCCAGTACACACCACCACATTGCCCTCTGCAGAGCCCCTCCTGCCCTGCACGCAGCACCTCACAACCCCTTCCTTCACCACTCACACTTTCACTCCCACACAGCTACAGGAGCAGAGCAAGGTGAAGCTAATGGGGTCAATTGGCCCTAGTTAACACCTTGATCAAAGTCAGTGCCTTTCCTTCAGCTCATCAGACCTGGGAGTACTTCCTCTCCTCAACCCAACTCAACTCAACCCAGCCCAACCCAACTAAACCTAACTCAACCCAACCCAACTCAACCCAACCCAACCCAACTCAACTCAACCCAACCAACTCAACCCAACCTTCTCTGTCTCTGTCTCTCCATACTGCCTCATTCTCTTAAGGAAAATACAGCAGTCAACAAACCCAAATCCTCAAAGACTGCCCTGGTGCTCTCCATAGCCTTCTGAGATGTCTGGGATCCCTTTCCCATGGACCTGGTTTGGATTTGGGTGGGGTGAAAACAAACCTGCCATTGGACTTTACAGGTGATCCCCTGATCCCATCCACAGCTCCCCTTGATGAGTGAGCTGTCAAGAATATTCTCAACAAGAATATTCATTGTGTACATCTTATATGTAACTTACTTTCTCTTTCTTCTATCTTTACAGACTTTCCCTGATGTATTCATAGACCTAAAGCAGAAAACTCCAATGCAGCCAAACTATAGTGTCCCATAAATACCAAACAGAATTAGTTATCAAGAATGACTTCCAAATACTAACATGTGCTCTGATGCATCATCCAAAGTATTACTCGTTTTCATAGGAATAACTGATGTCTTCCCAGAAAATCAGGATGTTTTGTGTTTTATTTTTACTCAGATAAGACACTGAGTTAACGGGATCCAGTTGGCCTACATCAAGAGGGCCTCCAAGGCTCATTAGTGTATTTATCCTTTTATTATTCCTTATCTGTGAGGTAGGGAAAATCCATTTTTTGCAAATGGGGAACTGTGGAGATACTAAATGACTCGTCTATAGTCACACAGGAAATCTGTGTGGGGGGAAGAAAAGGGAATCACGGAGATCCTCTGGGGTCCCCATTTCTCATCTCTTCTCATCCCTTGCACCTGGAGCAAGGGCTGCTGGTTGGGAGACAATGACAGTTGCCATGGAACTGTTCAGGCAGGGACAGCAAAGGCTGAGTCAGTGGTGGTCACTTCTGTCCACTGTGCTGTTGGGGACCCCAACATAGGAAAGAAAAGAAAGCTTTGGGGACACCTCACAGCAGCCTTCTAGTACTTACAGGGAGCTTATAAGTGAGAGGGAGAGTGATGTTTCACATTGGCAGACAGTGATAAATCAAGGGGGAATGGTTCTAGGATAAAAGAGGGGAGATTATATTAGATCTTAGATCGTGGTGAGGCCCCAGCACTGCTGCCCAGAGCTGTGGGTGCCATCCCTGGAGGTGCCCAAGGCTGTGGATGGACCCTGGGCAGCCTGAATAGGGGGCAGCCAGCCCATGGCAGGGGGTGGGACTGAGGGGTCAATGCTAAAGTTCCCTGTCTCTACTGCAAAAGATGCAAGAACCTACGACCAGGCTTGGTGGGGACAGGACTGGAAAGCACGGTGCTCAGTGTCACACTGGTGTGCCCTCGTCCATCCTGGCTTGTTGGCATCTCTCCTCCTGCCCTGCAACATGTCTCCCCATGCTCATGCCCACTTGTTGCTGTCTCAGTGGGATAACAAAGCTAAGGATGACCACATTTGTCTCCAAGGAATTCATCCATCCCCTGCTAGAAAGATGACATTAGATTAAAAAAAATACATAATAGAGAACAGATGAGTTTTCAAAGGCAATATTTTCTAGCCACTAAATTCCCAGTCCAGAGGGCTTCACTTTGAATTAATATGGGCTGTCTGTGCTCTAGAATTAAAGTTATTGATCCAGTCCTTGTTTACTGTCATCCACTTTTGTTCCTGGACTTATTACCACCTGTACAGGGTGAGAGCCTCTAATTAGCAGCTGCAATTTATGCGCTTATTCTGGAGAATCACCAGCCAGGAAGCCACCCAAAAATCACTGCAGAGGAATTGTGGCAGAACATTCACCTCCCATTCTCAGGGAGCTGTGTGAAAGCTGACACAGACTTCCATGCAGCCCCTTTGAATTTGCCAAGTAAATCATTTTACGGGAAGCTTTGTAATTGGGCATTCAACAAATTTTTCCCACAGTGACAATCTCTTCCTTGACTAATCTTGGAAAACAAAAACCTTCCGAATAATGTCCAGCAGTCATAAATCCTGCATGCATCTAACATGGCATGAATGTTGTTCCTTTGGGAGGTCGGGAGGTTGGGATAAAGGTCTGGATTTGGCAAGAGCTCCATCAGAGCAGGCTGAGCACATCAGAGCAGGCTGCCAGCTATTGTGACTGATGGTGGGATGGCTGCTGGGGTCTGGCTGCACTGCAGCACAGCGGATGCTCTGCACCATGCCAAAAGCCTGAACTGACTGTGCTCGTGCACAGAGCTTCTTGGACAAGATCTCTCCTTGACCAGCTTCTCTCTATCAGTTTTGTTCTTGAAGTGTTTTTGTATTGCTTTTTTTTTTTTTTTAACAGACTAAGTGCTTCTAGGTATGCCTTCAGAGAATGTTTGCTCAATGATTGTCACACAAACAAAGTGTGCTGACTAAAGTCACAAAAACAAGGACGTGGCAACCTGGGGAGCTTGGCTGTCTCCTGTGCACAGACAGACAGCCTCCCTGCAGCATCCCCAGGGCTTGAGCACTGGTGTAAGCAGGGATCCTCATTCAGGACCCCATGAACACTCCTCTTTCCCCACACCATCTATCTTCAGCATAATTAAGGACCTGTTCTCCCGTGACCAAATTGCAAAACACATGTACAGCCCTGACCCCACCACTTCCCATCAACCAAAATGCAAGGGGCCCTGGAAAACCCAAGGTCTGTGCTCACCTGTGAGCCCCTGAGCACTGCATGAGCATCACATGCTCTGGTTTCCCCATCACTGCTGGCAGGAGGTGCTGGCAAACGCTGCAGAATCCAGCATCTCCTCTGGGGAAGTCACCTCTGAATCTCCCTTTCATGCCCAGAGGTGGTTTGAGCTGAAATCTGACATTTCAGAGTCTGAGGTCTGGGACAATGTCATGTTCACCCATAGGTACCAGAAACCTGACTGTGCTGGTGGTAAAGCATTGGGATCCCACATCCTTTCCCCAATGGAAAATCTGAGGGGGTTTCTTGTGCAGTAGATCCAAGAGGGTTTCCTTGCCCTCTTTTGAGCCTGACTAAAAACACAGGGGAAAAGAAACCTGAAACAAATACTCCTTTCTGCTTTTACTCCTCAAGGTAAAAGCCCTTTGCTTTGAAACAAGTAACCTTCTGATGTACAGAACTCTGAAATCAAGGAGGGAAGGACAGGATGCATTCCTAGAGACTATGGTTATTTTCTGAGTGAGTTTAGTGATGGGAACACAGGGTGACTTGTGGCCCCGAAGCCTCCATCTGCAGCACCTGAAACCAGAACTTCCATCCCAGGGCAATTTCTGACATTTGCAGTTTCAACATCCTCAAGAAAAAAAGTGAAAATATTAAAGTTCACTGGTTAAAGGCACCCAAGACTTTTGTCTTTGAAAATAATAATAATAATAATAATAATAATAATAATAATAATAATAATAATAATAATAATAGGAAGACCTCTGTAACTTCTAAAGAAATATTTCATTCCCAACGTTGGTGTTTGAAAATGCCTCCTCTTGTAGATATTTTTTCATTTAAATTCCTTATCTTAAAACCAGAATTTTTGCCCTAAAGCATCACATTCCCATGATAGATGCCAAATCCAGCGCCCTGGTATCACAATGAGATTATTGCTCCAGTTACAAATGTTTTATTCAAGTGTTATTCAATCTAAATTTCAAATCTGGGTCCTGAACCCCATGTAATGGCTTTCTTTCAAAAAGCGTTTTCGAGCTGCTGAGCACAAACACTTAACATGCCACAGAGAAAGAAAATGCATGTGGAATGATAATGGCTTTAATGCACTCAAAGGGTGTCAGTGCTTCGTACCACCCCCGCCCGTTTGTTACTGAACCACAATGGGCAAACCTTGAAGAAAACAGCATTACGCTGTGGAGTACACATTTGTTAGCTCTACACATCCTTACACTGCTGACAAGGAGCCAGAGAATGACTCATGTGGTTTATTAGAGGGAGAAGCTTGCAATGGAGAGCACTGAACTTAGCAGTGGAATGAGAAATGCTCAGAGGATGGGAAATTGAGCAGCAAACAACAACAACAACAACGTTGAAAGTCTGAATTTTACAAGGTAGTTTCTTCCCAACTGTGTTTTAGGTCATCAAGAAGGAAAATAAAACACAGAGAAACCTTTGACAAGGTGCAGGAAAAATGCCCTGGTGAACAGAGTCGCAAAACCAGCTCGGTTTTTTCTTTCTGCTTATTTCGCATCGCTGTGCCAACCAACCACAGCAACCTCCATTAACTGATGGGAACCACAGGTTACTTTTTGATGAACACAATCAGGCAAGCATTAGCAAAACATGTGCCAAGCTGGCGCTTGGGTCGAGTCCAACCTCAGTAAATTACTGAACCAGGTTGGAAAATGGAGACTGCCTTTCCCCATTCTTTGAACATCAGCACTAATGCACTCTCAGACCTTTAGCATGTGCCTCCACAGCCACAGAGCAGCTCTCTGACCCTCAGGGAGCACCTGGTGTCACAACCAAACTGCCTTCTTTTCTCCCTGCCTGAGGTAGAAGCTTGCAAGACAAAGCTGCTCCATGCACTGAAGCCTCTACACAGCCATAAATAATTCCCTCTGCTCATGCTGGTTACCAAACCCAACTGCCCTTGGCTTGCAGAGGTCTCTTGCCTTGTTTTGTTATTCCTGTCTGCCTTTTTTTTTTTTTTTTTGCTTGGTTTGCTGCTGTGAGATGTTTCTGTGGAAACGCTGCTGTAGGAAGAGGGGCCTTAGGGGAAACCTGGGAAGTCTGGGGATTTTGGATTCACACTCATCGTTAGCTTATCTCATCAATAAAATGGAGCAGGATATTGTAATTACAGAGTATGAAGATAAGAAAAATTGTAACCCTTTTTTTTTTGTTGTTTTTAGCCCCATTTACAAAGGCTGGTGAGCCCCTAGACTGGCTGCTAGTGACTTGTTTGCAGCCTAAGAAGTCAAAAAGGCAAGAAGCACTGAACCAGAAGTGAAGCGGATGATTGCAGAATGAATGCTTCCCAATGCTGATGGCCATCATGAAAAAGCAGTGCCAAACCTGCCATGTAGATCTGATAGATAAGTGAGGGCACACAGCTTTGATTAGCTGCAGGAAAGTTCATGACATCAGCAATATTGCAAAACACAAATAACTTTGTCCTAGAACAAAGAAGAAGGAAATGAAAGCAAATGTACTCATGGAAACTTGACAAACCCCAGAAGCCAATATCTCTTCCTTAGGACCATAGAAAAGAAGCACAGATGTTTTCTTGGTGAGGAGAAGCTGAAACCACTCTCTGGCAGCCCTTCCAACACACTTCATAGCACCGTGTTAACTGTGTGATGCCTAAGGAAGCCAACTAAAAGAGCCTTTGCCTTCTATGACACAAAGAGAAAAACCTTAGATACCAAATAGACCTTCATTTCTCACAGATGTCATCAAGGAGCCAGACAAGCTACGTGCATAAAACTTAGGAGTAAACATTTCCTATTCAACAGTACAATATTTGCAGCCAACAGACTATACAGCCTCTCCCTTCCTGTTGCACAGAGCACTCCACGTAATTAATCATAGCTCAGACATAGTATAACCAATGACATTTAGCCTATCTCATCAAAACCAGGGAACCCTTGACATCATTTGAGTCATTCTCCTGGTAGGTCTCTTCGAGCCTGAATTCATCAGCTTGTAAGTGAGCAGATTTCTAGCTCGTGTCACTTTGACCTCCCTGCTCCAGGCGAGACCAAGCAGCCCAAAGAGTGAAAATATCTGGCTGTAATTTAATGAAAGCCCGACCCCACTCCTATCAGCACTGCTGATCAGAGCACAGCAAAAAGCAATTCAAGGATCTGATAGCAAGGTTCTGTTCACACTCGTCACCTCAATCAAGGCCTGCCATAAAGAAACCTCTTGCTGGTGCCATTACTTAAGGAGGTCATCATTTTAAAAACCACCTTGCACAAGCAAAAGTTCCTCATGGCAGGTTTGTGTCTGCTCATCCCTTTGTTCTCTCACATTAACCAACTTGTTTTCTTTGGCTTGGTTTGGCTCTTGTATTACGGCTCCTATGCATGAGCTTGAATCCCATCCAGATGAAATTACAGAAGGCTGTATAACGAAATTTCTACCCACACTGAGGTTTTAGCTCTAGACATCTCTTAATTATACCTGCAGCACCTTGAAGTTCTTCACTGAAACATGGAGATGTTTGTATCAACTCAGATATCATTCTGCCTAGCATGGGAAACTGCCTACATCCTACTCCAGAACGCACCAAACAAACCCATTCTGGAGCAGTAAAGACTTTTAGAGCATAGTCAGCAGTTCAGCAATCTGATTTCAGAAGGACTTTCACTGGTTCCTGCCTGCACTGGGCCCCGTTATCTACCTGACTCCAGGACACCAGCAGAGCTCTGCAGCAGTGCTTGACTCTGCCCCATTTGAGAGTGAGGGTATCTGAGAAGAGTTTTCCAAAATCAAGTTGATATGTTCTGAGATTTCTGGTTTTGGTTTTTTTATTTTTAATGTTTGCAATATCACCAATAATTGTTTTTTTAACATTCAAAAAAGGATTCCAGTTTATGAGAGCAGAGGGCTTCTATTCTCTGTATGCTTCTGGGCACCAAGCAACAGAGCACACGCCTTGTATCAGTGTGCTTATCATTAAGGTGGTGCTTCTGTTTCAGTCCTGCACTCAGGACAAAACCAAGTAGGGCGCAGTTATTATTCTCCAGTGTTTTGCTGACGCCAGCAGATGTCAATGCCCCATCCCTGGAGGTGTTCAAGGCCAGGTTGGATGGGACCCTGGGCAGCCTGGTCTAGTATTAAATGGGGAGGTTGATGGTCCTGGAGATTCAGGATCCTTGAAGTGCCTTCCAACCTGGGCCATTCTGTGACTCTGTGGAAGGGTGTACAGTCCTTCCTTGGTGTCCTCCATCTGGGAGGAACTTGGATGTGAGCTCAGCTGTGCCAGGAACCCCCTTATTGGACAGCAGAGAGGAGCTGCAGGAAGGAAGGAAGGAGACTCCAGGCTGATGGGAAGCCAGATTCACCTTCCCAGAAACATTTTCCAGAGGGGGACACAGAGGGGAATGAGATGTGTGGAGGCAGCGCCAGGGAAGAAAGAAAAATGCAAAGGGGAACTGAGAATCCTGTGTTGGCAAGATAGCCTACAGTGCTGTAATACAAGTTACCTTGCCCTTTACCTTGCCCCAGTGACGTCCAGACCCGCTGGTGTAATGTCCATGCTCTTTTCAAATCAAGAAGTGACTTAAATCCTCAGGGCTGACCTTGCAGGAGAAAGTACAGGGAAAAAATCAGGGTTTTGCCCGTAAGGAAAAACAGACCTGTTTCAGAAGGGAGTTTTTGGGAACTGGATGGACGTGTCTGAAGCAATGACTGATAAGGAGATCACTCAGGGACAAGTATTTAGAGCTTCTCAAAATCTGAAGGACAATTGCATGTTTAAAATGAGGAGGCCTGCTATTATTTTCACTGAGATTATTTTCACACCGTGCACTGTGGAATATCCTCTGAAGCGATCTGATAAGTCAGAAATTGTTTTGTTCTTCCTTCCCCGGAGAAATGGAGGCATAGCAGCGTTATTCAGCATCCCAGCCTCCACGTGCTGCCACGTGAGAGCAGGTTCCCTTATCAGACATGTGGAAACACAGAGACAATGCAAAATGAGTGCCTTCTGAACCACAGTGCTTAAAGACAGCATGGCACTGGGCTGGAGCCACAGCCCCTCTCTAAATAACCCTTTCCTTCCTCCTATGGGCTGAGGACACCAGGTGTGTGTGTGAGCACAGCTTCAAAGAGCCCTCATGGACTGTCAGGAGAAAATAACAATCCTGGGAGGTGGAAATGCCACCTGCCACACTGACCAGAGAGCACAGCAAGGCTGGGCAGCGGGGAATTTGTGGTGCAGATCGGTCTGCTCTCCTCCCAGCTGTGGGCTGGTTTGGGAGTTGAGCTGGGATGACTCTAAGAGGCACCCAGCTGTTTTCAGCATCTCGAAGTAATAGAAGCTGCAGTAATTAAATGTCCCAGGCAGAATATCTGGATGCGGTTTCTTTGAAGAATTGCTGGAAAAGAAGTAGCACGGTATAGTAGAAGTGATCGTTTATGTAATGGAGTCATTACTGTAACAAGATTACAAAACAACCCATCTGCTTCTTAACCTTTACCCCCAGCTGAAGGAGGAAGCCAGACTGTGATGTCTGCCTGCAGCTGGGCAGTCAGGGTTTGTGCTCAGGACATGCTGTCTGGGAAGAGACGTGCCAGAGGTTGCAGTGCTGGCCACGCTCCATTCTGTCTCTGCACGGGGTTCCCAAAGAGGTACCCAGCCCACAGAATGCCCTGG